CAAGGCAATGAAGAAGCAAAGCCTATAGAGGCAAGGAATGATGGCCTAGAAAGAAGGCTATGTCCATGTGGCAGGGTAAAATCGAGAGTTCACATGCCTTGGGCCTGCTGGGAAATCTATGAAGATAGAAGGCCTGCTAATTACCAGCCCTCACCGGCATTGAAACAGAAGTGGGAGAAGGCCATGAAGGCTAATCCTAGATGGAAGGCAATTGTCGACAAGAAGCGAGCTGCATATGCAGAAGGCCAAGGGGGACCCTTGCTAAAGAGCAAGCGAATACAACCCTCGACGATGAAGCCTTTGGCTTCTTGACAACCAACGCAGTCAAAATTGACACCGTTATGTCAACAAAAATCAAGGATTTTGAAGCCACAACTACACCTACAGAAGACAGATGGGTAGTTGATACAGGTGCTCAAATCCACGTATGCAACAATCGGAGCTTGTTTAGCACCTTTGAAAGCGTACAGAGCAACGTCAAAGTGGGAGATACAGAGACGAAGGTGGCCGGTATAGGCACTGTGGTCATCTATGGTGTAAACCCTACCACTGGAAGCGCCGTTAAGATGAACCTATTTCAAACTAGGTACTCGCCAAACTTCCATAGTAATCTGATATCTCATGGATTGATGATGAAGGGGGGCCTATTAATGAATCTCAGAGCAAACTGCATTGAGACAATTGATGGCCATCGTCAGATCTATAAGATCTACCACGATCAGAAGCTATCATGGCTCACCCAGACAAGGGGTTTTATAACCCAAAAGGCATCAGATTTGAAGCCTGAAATGACGTTTGCCACTAAGAAATCCAATCAGGAGCCAAAATCTGAGGCTTCAATTGAGCTCTGGCATCGTCGATTAGGCCACATTGGCAAGGCGCGAATTGTCAAACTGGCAGAGATGACTGAAGGAATCACTATTGCAAGCAACCCAGGCAAAGAAATGCAGGTATGTGAAGCTTGTCAATTGGCAGATGCACCTAGGCAAATCTCTCGCCGGAAGATAGGCCAGGTATATGGTATATTAGGGAGAGTACACTTCGATCTAGTACAAAACCAGCCTGCCTACAACGGTCATATATGGATGACGCACTTCTATCTCGATGGAATAAGGTGTCACTTCGTATTTACCTATATAAAGAAGAGCGAGTGTCAGATGGCAGTTCGTAAATTCTTAGTATTGATCCGAAACTGGTTGAAAATCGAGATCAGGGTATTTCATTATGATAATGAGAGAAGCGCCGGCAATGAGGTTGAATCTATGATTGAAGACGAAGGGTGTACCATTGAGCATGCACCACCTGGCTTGCCAGAGATGAATGGACCAGCAGAGAGATCTGGAGGCATGATAGTAAGGAACGGCAGAGCATTGCTCAATGGTACGAACCTACCCCACAATCTATGGCCAGAGACGATGTATGCATCTGCATATATGATGAATCGTACCCCTACAAAGATGGATGGTAAGTGGATCATACCATGGAAGGAATTGATGCGCTATGCGGCTCCAGATGGCTTAAAAGATCAAATTGTCAACCTGTCGAATATGAGGCTATATGGGTGCTTAACGTACTCAAGGCTTCTGAAGAGAGTACAATCTAACAAGATGGCTCCGAGAGCAGAGATCGGCTATCTTGTAGGCTATGTTTCAAAGAGCCTATACAAGATCTGGTTTCCATACAAAGGGCGAGCAGGCATAGGCAGAGTTGAAGTTGTAAGAGATGCTGTATTCGATGAATCGAGACAGTACTCTAAAACGAAGCCTTTACCGCAAGAAGAAGATGCAATTAGTACTATGACAAATGGACTAAGCGCTAAGAACTGGCCCCAAGTGCTCTCAATGGAAGAAGCGCAGTCAGAATTGAGCATAGAGATGCGTATGCCGATGTCAATTGCTCGCATAACTCTCAATGATGACGTCGAAAACCGAGAACAAGGTACTGCACCAGAGGCGGTAAATGAAGAAATCCAGGAATCTAGAGTTGTGGAGCAAGCTCAAACTCTAGATAGTAGGGAGGAGACACCAAGGGTCCCCCCTTTAAAGGAAACACCTGTTTTACCTTTAACACCGGCTTCAATGGCAGGCCCTGCTTCAGTGGTAGAACATATCTCAATGATAGAGGTAAGGGATCAAGAACAGATCCCTGGGAGCTTCCCTATGTCACCACAGAGAGCCTCACCACAAAGAGCACTATCGTCGATTGCTACGATTGAGAGTACGCCACATGAGAGATCTCCTACCTCGCTATCTTCGCCAGATCCGATCAATGTCATACAGTCGATCGAAGCTGAAGGGGGAGAGGGAGATCAATATGATGAAGATGAAGCAGAGATAGAGCGTCAATTGCAACAAGAGATGCAGTATACGCCTACTCCAGAGCCAGAAGATCGGCCTACTAGAGAGATCTCTGCGTCAATTGATGAATCTAACATCATCTCAGGCCCCAGAATACGGAAGCCAAAGGCAGATCCAGACTACACTGCATATCTATCGCTAGACGAGAAACAGCTAGCCGAGCCACCAAGCCTTCTATATGCCTTTACAACAGGTATTACGAAGAAGCTCAATATGCAAAACAGACTGCATAGAGATCAGATGCCTCCACCACCAGAGAACTGGAAGCGGCTAAAAATCCATCCCTTTGCCACGCAATTGAAGGCAGCTGCGGAGTTTGAAATTGAGACCTTAAAGGCTAAAGAGACCTTCTCTCAGGTTGCATTACCGAACAAAAAGAGCACCCAGATCTTGCCATTGAAGTGGGTATTTACATACAAATTTGATGCAGATGGTATGCTCGAGAAGTTCAAAGCAAGAATCTGCGTGAGAGGAGATCTACAGTGGATGTCAACTGAAGAAAAGAGAGCTGCTACACTAGCTGTCAAAACAGCGAGAGCAGTATTCGCACTAGTTGCCGCCTTTGATCTAGATATGATTCAGAGAGATGTGGTTACCGCATTCCTGAATTCAATGCTAGAAAGCGAGGTTTATACCAAGTGTCCACCAGGCTTCGAAGCACTAAATCAGTGCTGGCTCCTGCATAGAGCCCTCTACGGATTGCGCATGTCACCAAGGCTTTGGCAGCAAGAAGCTACAAAGGTGCTAGTAAAACTAGGCCTTACCCCAGTGGAAGAAGATCCATGCATCTTTACAACCAAAGGCATTATTGTCTTTTTCTACGTGGACGATATCATCATCGTCAATCACCCCAAACAGGCTAAAGAAGCCGCTTTACTAGATCAAAATCTAAAGAAGCAATGGGAGCTTCGAGAACTGGATGCAAGCTGGTTCTTGAATATACGTATTATACGTGATAGAGAGCAGAAGAAGCTCTGGTTATGCCAAGATAGCTACATCGAGAGCATGGCACACAAATACAATCTCGTCACAGAGAGAAAAATAGGGTCCCCACTGAGCATTGAGCCTCTAGTACCCTATGATGGGGTGGCATCACCGCAACAGATTCATGGTTTCCAGGCCAAGGTTGGATCTGCGCAGTATGCCACCACCATTACCCGGGTAGATGCTGCAAAAGCAACCTCCAAAGTGGCTGAATTCCTTACAAATCCAGGACCAAAGCATATAGATGCAGTCGATCGCATCATACAGTATCTCTATGAGACACGCTTTTGGGCCATTGAATACGGCATCAGAACACCAAACAAACAACCTAGAAATCGAGATACGACCCTGACGATGGCGGCGAAATCAGTTGAATTTGCAAGCGATGCGTCGTTCGGAGACCATAAAGATCGAAAGAGCTCCGAAGGGTATATCTGCAAGTTATATGGTGGCCCAATCGATTGGAAGGCCACTAAGCAGAAGACTGTCACCACATCGACTACCGAGGCCGAACTACTAGCTTTAGCAGAGGCAGGAAAAACCGTACAGTGGTGGCGACGAGTGCTTAATGCACTAGGCTTCGAACCAGATCACCCACTATCCATCATGTGTGACAACCAGCAAACTGTCGATTTATTGACGAAGGAAGGGGCCGCGATGCATACGAAGCTCCGGCATGTTGACATCAATCGATGCTGGATGAAGCAAGAAGTTAGCGCAGGTCGAGTATATGTGGACTGGGTACCAACTGCTGCGATGCCAGCAGATGGGCTCACCAAAGCTCTGACGAAGCAGAAGCAGGGACACTTCAGAGAGTTGGTTGGAATGAGGGACGTAGGTCACATGATTCGTCACATGACCTCTGAGAACAGAGGCTGTTTTGCGGAAACTGCATAAATCGACGATTTGAGCCGAGATCAGTGAGGAGACAGGTGAGGTAAGTTGGAATCACTTGCGAATCATTTGCGAAGCGGTTGCGAAGCAGCTGCGAAACAGTTGGAAGAAAGGCAGTCCTTGAGAGCTTTGAATAGCTTCAAGAACTGGGGGGGTGTGTCAAGTACTATGCATTTATGCATGCTGAAATTACCAGGTCTTTACAAACCGGAAAATCAATGGACCGTCATGATAACGGTACCATACAAAAATACATACATTGCTTAATCAGCTATGTCCGCCGAGATTGGAAAAGAGCGGATCTTGTCATTTTAGTTAGTTAGAGAATTTACATATGTCAGATTTACCATACATTGTCGTATCCGTCTATTTCTGTCACAATAGATTGATTTTGAGAGAAGCTTCATTATATTGAAATTCAGTACCCAAGAAATGTCACCTTCAAGTTATCAGATTGACGTAAGTTTAGATCCAGACCCCCCTACAGCTCATCCCGCCACGATAACTGGGCTCATTCAAGCCCACTGTGTCCACCTCTCTTGTTACGGTCGACAGGCAGCGCAAGCGACCACAGAAACAAATTTCACCAGAGAAGAATGCTGGCAACTGTAAGATCCTGTCTCTTGTTTTTCCAGTCCTCCTACGGTTTCCCAGCCTCGAGACAAAACCTCTACATTGAAATATCCCTGGGAGATGACGAACCAGAATGAAGATCAAATGGCCCGGAACAAAAGTTGGGGATTGATGGCCCGAATGCAAAGCTTATCACCTCGAAGCTTCTCCAGGACTGCCTTAGGTTAGCTGTTGACTCCTGATAAACGCCGGAAAAGTAATCATACCGTGATACAAGTGCTGCATTCAGATTTTTCAACGACTCTCCCCATCTTTCATTACGATACAAGTCCTCCCATCCTTCATCATCATCATCATCATCATACACCTCTCTTGTTAAATTTCGATGCGCTAGTTCTTCCGCATAATCGAGCGGAGTCTTGCCGACCAAGTCTGTGGTCGTCGCACAAACGTCCAAGACACCTTCGCGAGCAAGAAAGTCCACCAGATTTTCGGTAAAAATACCATGAATCGCTCCGTGATGCATCAATGTTTTCCCATCAATATCTCTGGTCGCTGGATCCACACCCACATCAAACAGATAGCTAAGGACATCGGTCTTTTCTCCCTGATAATGCATGGTGAGATGTGCCAGTGTTTGTCCTTGTTCATTGATCCAGAGCGGATCAGCCCCATTCTTGACAAGAAAATGAAATATCTTACTTTGGATTGATAAGTGAAATGAGCTCATATAAAGACTTAAGGCCGATTTGCCGTCCCTGTCAGGCAGATTGACATCGCAACCAAGCTGTATTAGGAATTCCACAAATTCAACAGAGCAAATATCAGAGGCAACATGATGATGTAATGGACTTTTGCCAAAGTGGTCAAGGGAATTCCAAGTCACTGAAAGCACACTATCGCAGGCTCTTGACATGAAGTATAGGGTATCCAGATGGCCACTGGAGACTGCGTAATTGAATGGGCTCCGCCCATTGGAGTCCTCTAGCATGATATCATAACCTTCTTCCACGAGCTTGCGAATTACTTCTAGGTTTCCCGCCTGGCTAGCGAGGTGAAGACACGTCTGACGAGCGTGGTTCGGTTGTGATGCATCGGCTCCTTTTTCTATAAGCTTTTCCAAAATGGACAATGCCTGAGGTTGGCGGAAGTCGATCACATGTTGGGGGTAATCCCCATGATTGTTAGCCATGTTGACGTTAATAGACTTGCTCTCCAGGAGTGTCTCAACAATGAGTACCCTAGTATCGCTGATGGTTCGATAGATATCAGAAGCTTCTGAGCCCTCATGATCGTCGATCAAGTCAGCCAATGACTCAACGGCATACTGACCACCCTGCCATATATCGTCATTTTCGCGGCCGAGAAGCCGGCCCCTAATCCCAAGATGTAGCGCAGTATCGCCAAAATCAGAGCGAGCATTGGGATTGGCCCCACATTCAAGTAAGTACGCGGCCATCTCTGTACATGCATTCAAAGCGGAGAAGTGGAGCGCTGTCAGTCCTGATTCTATATTCAGTTTCTGGGGCTTAGAAATTGGTCTCCCAGGCCACGATCGCCTTTCAACTGTGGATTCTAGATTGAAAGCATGTTGGATGAAAGTTTGAACAATTCCTTTTCGTCTGTCTCCAAGCGCATAAAGGAAGGGTGTCATATTCTCCTCATCGCAGGTATATGGGCAGGCCCCCTTGTCAAGAAAGTACTTTATCATCGTACAGTCATTGAAGCGAGGGTTGTTGCATGCAACATGAAGTACATTTTGATGCTTGTTGTCCAGAGAATCAAAACGCACGTCATACTCGCCCAAAACGCGCAAGGCTTCAACTTGAGTGTTCTTGGTCGCGATAAATAGTGGCGATTGTCCGCGGTCATCTTTGGCCTCCAATGCTTTTTGGTGGGCGGTAGAGATGAGCGGAACAATTCCCCATCGGGCTGCAACATGAATTACGGATATATCTGGTCCTAGGAAATCCCACGGATGTCTTTGTGCATGGTTATAATTATCCAGCCAGCACCCCCATGTCCCGAAGGTGTTTTGAAAGAAGTTTTCATGCTCTTTCTGAATGGTAAACTCCCTTTGGCTAAGCTTGCGTGCTTCGGCCAATACAGTACTGAATAACCAAGAAATCCGTAAGTTGATTCCAGCATTGACCTGTCCAGACTGGGCCGACAATATTGAGAAATGACCTCAATAGAACGATTTGACAGGACATGATTGGATTTGACAGCCGTGAAACCATCCATCTCTGTCATTAAAAAGTCCTTGACAGACCTATGTAACAGTCGCACGGTGGGTTTTATCAGTAAAAATCAGCGAGTGAAAAGAGTCAATGATATCTTGAGTGAACCGGAGGCGAGTTTCAATATCCTCGTCCAAGTATAATCGACATGCCTCGGCTATTTCAGCCACCGTCAGGCGCCGTAACGCAAATGTGACAAACATCAACAACATCTTCAATTTTGAGTCATTATGTGGGTCGTTATCTTCAAACGCTGCATTCAACAGGGCTCGATATAAGCGATAAAGCCCTTGAGGTTGAGCCCGCAGTTTCTCGACCACATCTTTTGATCGTACATCATCCAATTTCCGACAGACAATTCCAACCCATAGGAATGTTCCATCCGCTTTTTCTTCAAGTATCTTTGATACTTTTTGTCTGACAGATACAGGATATGTGTTTCGCTTTGCAAGGTCCTGTACTTTGTCTTGAATCATGGCTCTTAAGTCATCGGCTATCTCCTTGCACGAGCCGAGATCGACACATCGAAATATGGATAGAAGACTATGGATTTTGGGATACGGACGACTGATAATCAAAAAATGCACGCTGCATGGGACCGCAATGTTCTCGTTAGCTTGTTTGAACGATTGGTGGATTTGCCGGAGGAACATATCTTGTGATTCGGTATCGCATTCGTCGAGAGCGTCGGCAATGCAATAAATCTCGATGCCGTGAGACGCTCGGCCTATATCCATCAATACTGCCCAAAGTCCGTCAAACGACATGAAAAGACGCTTTCCCTGAACTTTGTATCTTGGCATCATTTGCTCCATAAAACATGGATATTTTTTGACGATTTGGTACAGAAAACCTCGCAGTAGAGAGGTTGCCGTTCTATGATATTCAGAGTCGGAATCGCAGAAAAAAAATGAGAGGATGCTGTCACTGTTGGAAAAATAATCTTTATTTGGTAGTTCTTCAGCAAGCATCATAGCCATTGTAGATTTTCCGATTCCTGGATTGCCGTGTAGCCATAAAACATTTTGTTCTATATCGCTTGCGGTCTTTGCTTGTCGAAACCAAGATTTGAGCTCGTATGATTCCAAGAACCAGTTGAAGGTCCCTGGGGTACGAGGTCCTTTTGTCCGCCTCCGCATATTCAGATCTTCTTCGGGCTCCGTGATGAACAAATCTGCAAGACATGCGTCATGCTTATTGATTTCCTTTCTTTGTTCAATGTGCTTGTGGAAATGGTTGACGACAGAGCCGTGGTTCAGACCCATCTGTAGCCCCGAACTTGAACATCCAAACGATATTGTGGACGCCATTATCTCCACAGAGACTTTTTCCATTCAGCCAATGGGCATGTGAGAAGCAACTGCTGCGAAGAACGGGGTGAATGGGGAGAAATATAAATATAGGGAATTGTTATAGCCACCCTCCCCCCTATGGATGCTTACAACCCCCACTTTCCCACATTGGATGCTTGCATCCCCCTCCCCCGCCTGAGGATGCCTGAGGATGCCTGGGGATTATGTACTTTTTTTAAATATCTCCGCGCGCGCGTTTTCGTCCTCGACTAGCGCCGGACGAATATTTCGGGCATGTTGATGTGCGGTGACTTAATTGGCGTATGCTATGCTAGTCACTGTCCCGGGGACAATTGATGATAGTGACTGCGCCGGACGACTGTCACTACCAAATGCATTAGAATATCTGCTATACTGCGTGCATTAATCTCCAGGCTTGGTGGTTGCCTAAACCGCCACTACTACCTTGGAACCTTTTGGAATACGAAGGAGGTTCTACCTTCACCTGTAATGTTTCCTTTCCTGCGCTAAGCGCTAAATGATTAGGACGAGTGGCAGGGATGTCTCAAGTCACGTGTATCTCGATATTAAGACACAAATCTCGCAATTTCCAACATGAAAAAAGCAGCAGCTCGTATCTCGTCACCATGAGCCTTAACCCGAACGGCTCTCAGCCGCATCGTGAAACAGAAGAAATCCCATCTCGTGGTTCTTCCCAACTTGTTGTTGGTTGTCGTAAATCAGAGCTCGCACTCACCCAAGCTCGGACTATCATATCAGAGTTGAAACAAAAGCTCGACCCCTCCCCGACATTTGAAATTGCCACAAGCAGTGTCGTTGGCGATGCAGATAAGCAGTCGCCCTTTATCCTCCTCTCTAAGCAGACCGGTGGATCAGACATTGGCAAAAGCCTATGGACCAATGGCCTTGAAGAGGATCTAGCAGCTGGCAAAGTCCAATTTCTTGTCCATTGTTTAAAGGACATGCCGACTACACTGCCACCAAATTTTCTCCTTGGAGCTATCCCTGAGCGTGAAGACTGTTCAGATGCTGTTGTAATGAAGTCCAACTCGGTTTTCAAATCTATCGACCAATTACCACCTGGTTCCGTAGTGGGATCAAGCTCTTCAAGGAGAAGAGCTCTAGTTCGGCGAAACTGGCCTCATTTGAAAATACAAGAGTGTCGCGGGAACTTGTAAGTGCTGATTAACTTATTCCCCCTTTGCTGTTGCTCACTACATCTATACATTTTTGAACACGATCTAATAAGGATATATCAGGGATACTCGCCTTGCTAAGCTCGATGCACCTGATTCACCATTTTCGTGCATTCTCTTGGCGACCGCAGGCCTACTACGCCTAGGGCTCGGCCATCGCATCACGCAGCGACTTGAGCCTACCGTATTCCCTTATGCGGTTGGTCAGGGCGCACTCGGTATCGAGCTCGGTGCAGATCGTGAAGACATCCTTGAGCTTGTCCAACATGTCGACCATAAGCCGTCGAGATGGCGCGGCATGGCAGAGAGGGCGATGCTTCGAAGCCTTCAAGGAGGATGTTCGTCGTCAATTGGCGTTTCATCTTCCTTTGAGCCTCTGAAAGGAAACGATCCGGTAGACACAGCCATTGATAGCGGCACCCTCCGCCTGCGGGCTACCGTTATCCATATAGAAGGAACGTCAGAGATATCTTCCGAAAATGTGAGCACTGTTCAATCCGACGATGACGCAGAGCAACTCGGTATCTCAGTCGCGAACATGTTACTTAGCAAGGGAGTGCGCGATCTGTTGCCAGAACATGTATAATTTAAATAACGCCTGAACGTATCTAGAATAAGAAGTAAGGATATATTCCACGGGTGGTCAGCCTTTTTCTACAGTACACGGTGCATCACAGAAGAACCACGGTTTGAAATCACCAAGAGAATTGGAATCTAGCATTATAAACAATAGATCCTTGTTAGGTGGGAGGGGTGAAGACAACTATTGGAGCTATAGAGGTTATCCTGCAGCATATAAATGCAAGTAACGCTAAAGCGCATTTGAAATTACGAAGACATGAGCTGTCTCCCTTTGAACAAATGGATCACTATGAACTATCGGGCAATCTTCCACGCACAGCGCATCGATATGTAAATATTCATTTCCTGCTGGTGGTCCTGTCAGAATCTATTGGAAGGTCGGGATATTCGACCTAAAATCGGTTTCATGGATGCCTACCTCTTATTACCTACGTATTTAGATCAGAATGTATACTCCTTCCTCTATTAGGTATAAGGACGCGGTGATAGATAGGGGGATTCTTTTTCTCCAAGAATTGAGCTGTACATTGAGAAAAGCGCAATTATATCATTAGATGTTGCAGTATGGCCCTTCTATCAAACCGTTTATCAAACTGTTCGACTCTGCGACAAGAAGCAACTTCCCAGCACATCTCTACTACTCACGCTTCTTCCCGATATTACCCACCTCCCGGAGCCCGACGGCCCCAACCACCAGGCAGATAATATTCGCCGCGAACAAGAACCAGAACGAAATCCGATACCCGACCATGTACCCACCGGGTTCGAATCCCTCTGCCGGGCAGCGTTATTATCGCTGACGACATTGGCGATCAACTCGACAACGGTCAGTCCGAAACTCTTTCCAATTTGCGAAAACGTGTTAAAGACATCCCCCGCCAGGCTCTGCGTCTCCGGCGGGAACATATCAGCAATCAGGATTTTGGACACTGTGAAGAGAGAGTCGGCAGCGACGGAGTTAAGGCAGATGGTGATGAAGGGGGAGCGTCAGTAGACCCAGGAGGGGTTGACGGGGGCCATCATAAGCGGGGAGATACATGAGACCAGAATCGTGATGTTTATGATGGCGTCGGCGCGGATGCGGTGTAGTACTAAACCCCTAACGAGGGTGCTGAGGAGACCTGTGATAGGGGTTGGAATGAAGCAAAGAGCGGCGTCTAAGACAGAGAGTTCTTGCACGTTCTGGAAGAAAAAATTGATGATCTGTCCGAAGCCGTTGAAGGTACCCCAGATGATAAAATCGTTAATACAGATTGAGGAGAAGGACTTGTTTCTCCACAGTGAGTTGGGGATGAGTGTCGGTTTACCGCGTCTGGTATTCTTGCCAAATGACAAAGCACAGGAGTAAAACACCGGAGACGGCAAAATAGGCAATTATCGAGGGTTTACGGGCGTTTCAGGTCATATATACATCGGAGATTATGATGCTTAGGAAACAGTTAGCTGGGGTTGTCTGGAGTAGGTCGAGGGAGGGGGATGCACGCTAATGCCAAAGAAAGAAGGATCAAGCTGGCGCTGATAACAATAGCACCGAGCCAGTCGATGGCGAAGAAGAGGGCCCAGTTAATGTTGGTTTCTTTATTTTGTGGCAGCTGCCACCATGACAGAAGAAAGGCGATTGTTTTGGCGATGGCGGCACTATGAAATCTCTCTCCAGCGCCAGCCGATGGTGTCGGCGCAGACACCAACCATCAGCATGCCTAGTCCGAATCCGATAAGCTGGCCACCTCCAATAAAGGAGAAGAAGAGGTTGCGGAGCTTTCCCGGGGAGAAATTCTCGGAAATGATGCTCACTGCGGACGGGAGACACATGGCGGTTGCCAGGCCCGAGAAGACACGGAACACGACGAGCTGTGTGCCATTCTCGGAGAGGCCACAGGCCATGCAGAAGATACTCTGGAAGAAGCAGCCTAGCAGGAAAATGAGCCTACTAGGATGTACCAATGGGGTTACGTATGTGTGTCTGCCCAGGTCTTCCCCGTACCCAAGTAGGTTATTTGATATGACTAAGAATTGCATCCCTGCAAAACCCATTGGATATCGGTGTCTGGAGTGACATGGCAATTTGTGAGTCTTGTACAGTCGTTCAAGTTAAAACACCCCGCGGATCGAGATCAAAGTCTTATCTATTATAGAATTATCATGGAATCAAACAATAGCGTTGTTGTGATAAGTAGAGATAGTAGAAATAGTATTAATATAGATGTTAGAAAGTAAAATCTTTAACCACTTTCTTGGGTATTGGGGAAGATGTTGGCAAGCGACTGGATGAGACACCTGCGCCATCAGCAACATCATCATTATGATCTCGTTCCTTGAGCTTCAATAGCTCTTGTTTCTTTTCGTTCAAAGATTGCCAGAGTTTGTGCTGCTGTCCTAGTCCTTCTCCGCCAAAGTTGCTAACAATCTCAATCAGATCGTTGCACATATTCAGGGCATCTGCGAATTTTCCTTGATCCTCATAGCAGTGGACCAAGAACCACATTGCTTGAACTAGATATAAAATATTGCTATCAGTAAAGACTGCCTTGTAACACAAGTGTCGACGATTAATTGTCAGATAACAAGAATGCCACTTACCCCGATCCCCATGTCCCCCGTCTGCACGTTTTGTCTGTTCGAATGTTTGCTTCGTAATAATATCTTCCCAGATTTCCTGTGCCTCAGAATACCGTTCTTGTCGCCAGTAAAGATGTCCAAGCCAGGTACGAGCCGTGAGAGTTCCCAGGTGGTTTTCACCCAGGTTTCTCTTCGCAATGGGCAACCCTTCCAGAAAGATTTGTTCAGCTTCTTCAAACTGATTCATAGCTGTTTTGATCTTTGCAACGGTCAATGTAGATTTAAGTGTAAGAGGATGTTCACGTCCCAGTGTTTCTTTCCGGATCAGGGTAACCTCTTCACTCATCTCAAGAGCTAGTGGAAGATGCTCCTCGCCCATAAACCCCCAGATCCCCGCAAGATTGTCTTTCGCCTCTAACGTTTTCTCGTGCGTAGGACCCAAAGCTTTTTGTAGTCCCTCATATGCTTGTCGTTGCAGGTCAACCGCTGCTTCATGTTCGAAATAGCGAAGCTTGACCTTGGAAAGATTATCCACGGCAGTCCACGTATCTTCGTGTTCGGGGCCAAACCCTTCCAACTTAGACAAACTTTCGATAACTTCTTGGTGCAGCCGATAGGCCTCGCGGTACCTACTGCCTAAAATACATGTGGCACCAAGGGTATCCATGATCTGCAAGGTTGTAGGATGCTTTGGGCCATATAGCTGTTTGGCAGACTCCAGGACTTGATATTGGAGCACTCTCGCCTCGTTGTTCCGTGTCTGCCAAACATAGTTCTTGGACAATAAGAACGCAATGGCGATACTGTACTCGGACTCGGGGCCTAGCTTTGCGAATAAATAGTCCTTCACTTGAAGCTGAAGCTCTTCTGCCTGGGACCAGTACCCGCAATGAAGGTAGACCAGACTGAATTTCGCATATTCAGTCGCCTGCAACCTCCCAAAGCCCGATTGAGGCGCTAGAAATCTCAATGGCCAAAGCCAATGGGGAGCCCTTTGGTTTTCTTCAAATCGTTTCTTGATATCTGCCTGTAATTTGCGCACATTTTCCACGTGTGGGTAAATTTCCCTCTTCGACTTCTCATCCTGAGCTGCATATGCCCGTGGAGCCTGGAAGAATATCGATTGTGCTAATATCGTGGCCGCTGCTTGACACCAGACGGCTTGCTCTGCCGTGCTGGTTTCGGGTCTCTGTCGCACCCAGGTATGCACTAGTGGATGCATCCAATAACTATTGTTATCGTCATGAAGTGTCAGCATGCCAAGACGGACTAGAAGAGACAACGCGCTGCGTAGCCGGTCTTCATCAAATGGGTCGTCGTCCTCGTCACGCAGGACAGCAGGAAGGATTATACTTGGTCTCGTGAGCGGTTCTATCACTGTGGCGGCCCAGTCTTGAAATGTCCTCGTCCATGTCTTAGGCCTTGGATTGATCGGTACTGGTTTTGCCACGCGTTTCTTGGCTCGTGCATCTTCTCGTTCTCGCCGAGGGTTCGAAGCCGCATTTGTTAGGAGATCAAACTCGATGTTCTCCCAATAGAAGAATGAAAAAGTCTTCAACAGTTCAAGGGCGTCCCTAGATTGATCGTCGCTTTTGCTTTCAAGGCCAAGATATATCATCTCATATGAAGAATACACGCTCATATTCGACAAGTACTTATCCTCGTGACCACGAGATGAGCTCCGACTTCGAAAACGGCGAATTTTATTCCACGTCCGTTCGTAGTACTCGGGATAGTCACTTAGAGAACACAGCTTTTCCAAGATAGCCTTTCCCGCATGGATGAGCGCAAGAGGCAAATATCCTAGGATTCGGGCTGCTCGGGCAGCGTAGGATCTTGTTGGTACTGCCCAGGGACGCGGGAAAGCGGCAGCCTCCAAAAGGAGGTCACTGGCTTCTTCAGTTTCCAACTTATCAAAATGGAAGAAGCGAGAGCCGTCCGTTCCGTATCCCTTATTGGCAGGGTTGCGAGTAGTGATAAGAATGACACCCCTTTCCCCTCCCGGAAAGTAGCGCATCACATCAATCTCGGGGTCATCGGCATTGTCTATTAGAAGTAGCCAAGGTTGTTGTAAACTAGAAAGCCAGTTCTTTGCCGCGTTTTCGTTGGGTTCGACGCCACCGATTTTGGCAATTCCTGCGAAGGAGTGTTTCGCGTTTTCGTATGAACTTCCGTCGATCCAAAATACACCCCAGAAACTAGACATAGTCGTTAGATTTCTTTCATCTACTCTTGAAATATGAGTCAAACTCACTGTTCCCTATTGTCTTGAGCAAATTTGCAACAGAATTGTGTTTTCCCAGACCCTCCAAGACCATAAATGACGAAGCGCTTTTGGTGATCTTGAGGTTCGCGAGAATTGACCAGGTCGAGCGTGGATTTAAGCTGATTCAACTGCTTCTGTCGGCCAGTATAATAACTGCTGACAGTTTGAGGCATGTCAAAATGCTTGTTGAACCTAATGAGCGACGCCACCGCATCCGCGGAAATGAGGGAATCTTGGAGCTTGCAGAAGTGAGCTTTTATACTACATCCATAGTTTGCGAATAACTCACATTTTCTGGGTCAGTTGAGCTTTGGAGAATCCGGCGAAGGTTTTTAATTCTTATTGCCAGCTTATTGTTTTGGTGCTGCAAGTTCTCCGGTAGCGAGTCCACAGTACGGTCCGCTACTGACTGTGATTTGAGCGTATAGGAACTGTCCTTCGTCAGTCGTTTTCTTCATAGACATATACGATAAGCAGGTTCTTGGACATACAGGTTAAGCGCACTCAACAACATTTGGATACCGGCTTGGTTATTGGCGAGGCGCTGGCGTATTTGCATATATTCACCGTCTCGATCTTGTCTCCGGATCGTCTTCCTAAGGCCGTCGAGCTTACCCCCTACAAGTGCGTGTTTCTTGCCAACAACCTCCTTGAGCAATACCTCGAGCTGCTCAATGGTTGCCTTGCTTTGCTGCAAGAGCGATGCCAAGTTCTTCCAAACATTACTTGCGTGAGATCCATCGTTGACTGGCAGGTCGAAGCCATTTAAGTCATGCCGTGAATGCCAAAAGTCCTCGACTGAGTCATTTACAGCAACGAGAGCTTCGATTTCTTGCCCTAGAATTGTGATTTCATCCTGGATTTTGGATGTTGCGCTTTTAAGAGAGCCGAGATAAGAGATGATACGGATGGAGACGTCTGCCAGGCCAACAGTTCCAACTATAATGGAAAAGGGGTCCATATTATTTTAAGTGAGAACTCCAGTCAAGGAAACATAGAGACAATAAAATGGAGGCGGAATCTACCCCGTGGGATGAGAGCTGCCGACATGGAAATGAGGGGGCTTGCCATATTTAGTGTCTCGTCTTGAACATCTGCACTAAAATCACATCGGCGACGCTAGTCCTGTTTCATGGCCGAGGTAAGCCAACTGCTCAACAGGCTTCTAGTCACCCGGCAGCAACACGACAACCAATGAAACAGAGGCGATATATGACAATAAATTACTCCATACAGAGCTGAGGTTCAATCATTGCTTTATTTCAGCCCCCAACTTTCTGGCGGCAATACTATTGTCCCTAGTGGTTCTATAAATGTGCCTGTCGAGATGTAGCATTACTCTATGGTTATCGAGAGTAGTTAGATCCATTCAGACTTGATCTGAGGTCATGATAATTATTTGACCATGACTCTTCGCGGACACTTTTTTGGGGGAGTAATTATAGAAGACGGCTAAGTTAAGGAGTAGGGAGCCGCGCACTATAACATACATGTCACATATGCAGGCCCCCATAAAAAATTAGATGCAATCTCCGCTGATCGCCATATGGACACGCGGTGTTCTCACTGACGAAGGGTACGGAGTAGTTCGAGTTTGAGAATTATAGAGCCAATGACAAGGTCAGAAAATACGAGTGTGGCGCTTTAGCTTGGAAATGCAAAGGTACGATAACAGCGCAAGAAACACAAAGCACTTGATAGCATACACGAACAGATGCTAATTTACTCTAGCGGAAACATTGCACGGACGTGAAGCCAATCAGATTGCTCCAATATTACCATGTGGATCCTTTTTGAAAAATAGGCCCGGCCCGTTGGCCGGTTCCATGGTTTTGTTGTGTCCACTCAAGACTTTGTCACACGTGTAATTGAGAGTCTATGGAATACTCCGTAGAGATAGTTGTATCTACTTCTATTAATTCCCATGGATGATCAGTAGTTAATGTTTTAAAATCGCTGACCTGATTATTAGACCCTCAGAGGCTTAAGCCTCGCAGTCAACTGATTCGAATTGATTGATAAGTTCCTCGGTAAGATACCCGTATGCTGTAGGCATCATCAAATAATAGGGTTTGATAGGCTTTCAGTACCTACTTCTACATTCAGCCAACTCAAGTATACAACTATGTAAATCGCCCCTCATCTGGCAGTGACCGAAGCTGATCAGCCAGTAGGAGGGTTGTATTTCTTACTCCCACCGCTGCCAAGGCCTGTGATTTCGTTTGAACCAGTCACCTGCCTAAAAATACTATTTGTGGAGACAAGTAGTCTTAAAATGGCCAGGAGTGAACCGTGCCCCCCAGCTGAGATAGCCTAGCGTGACCGATGGCTGAAATTCCGACTCACGTCTTTACTTCCAAATCCTTCCTTTTCCTGTAATCATGTCTGTTTTCATTCATTTACCTCCCACATAATTCGTTGCTTCAGTTGTCACCTTCGGCATGAGCATATTGCAGTGGTTTCAAAGCTCTCGTGGGAGCAACCCCATCTCGATAAATTTATTGGGCGCTTCTTTTATATTAATACTTCTCAACTACGTTATATATCTTGCTATACAAAGCTGGCGTAGATACCTCGTGGGTCTTTTAGTTCTGTGTCCTATTCAAGAGATATTAACAGCGTTAGCGTGACAAAGAATTCGGTGATAAGCATGGCTGCTTGCCGATGGAGACGTGGATTCCATACAAATGGCCATTAGCACTTGATATCCTCAAGCGGCAATATGATGCATTGCCAGACCAGCGACTACTATTGTTTCAATCCCAGTATTTCGACAAGATCGGACCTAACATGACATTTAAACTGTTTGGAAATCAAGGTTATCTCACTGCCGACCCAAAGAACGTGGAATCTATACTCTCTACGAATTTCGAAGGTATTTACCCAATCCTCATATTCATAAAGTATTGTCTCACACTCAGAAGATTGGTGCCTTGGCTCCCGACGACCTGGTCTCATGCCTATGCTAGGCGAAGGCATTTTCACTCAAGATGGTCGTCCATGGAAGCATTCTCGAGAGTTGCTCCGCCGCCAATTCGTACGAATCCACCGACAAGATTCTAAGATTTTCGATGAACACGTGGAAAACTTGATTTCCAATCTCCGCTCTGCAACTGGAAGTGGCGTGGTAGATCTACAACCTCATCTTTTCCGCTTTACTCTAGCCACTACAACAGCCCTCATCTTCGGAGAACCCGTCTTTGCCTTGCCGGGAGCAGAGACGGATACTTTCGAGAAGGCCTTTGACTATGCCAGCTACATCAGCGCGATCAGACTGCGTCTTGCTGATTTGGAATGGTTATGGAAACCTGCCAAATTCAGGGCAGCGTGTGATGTCGTCAAGGAATATGCATCTCACTTTGTGCAGCTTGCCCTCGACGATATGGAGAAGAATGGTGAGGAAGCTGCATCGGAGAGACATGCGTTTATTCTCGAACTTTACAAGGAGATGCAGGACAAGGTTCTTGTGAGAGATCAATTGGTCCATGTTCTTATTGCTGGGAGGGACACGACGGCATGTTTAATGTCGTGGGCTTTTTTCCCTTCTCGTGCGACATCCCGAGGCTCTTGCAAAACTTCGCAGCGAGATACAACTTGTCACCGGAGGATCACATGAATTGACCCGGGCGAAAATCAGCAAGATGGCCTATCTCCGTTGTGTGATTAATGAATGTGAGTCTAGTCTATCAGCAATCTAATCTCCCAAATTGAGATATATGCTAACGATAACCGCTACCCCCAGCTCAACGATTATACCCGCAACTCCCAGTGAACGTCCGCGTAGCCGCTAAAACAACATTCCTTCCGAGCGGAGGAGGCCCCGATGGCAAATCCCCGGTACTAATACCCAAGAACACAGGGGTTGGCTATTCAGTCTACCACATGCACAGACTAAAGAGCGTTTACGGTGAAGACGCAAACAGTTTCCGTCCCGAGCGATGGCTGGGTACAGAGCTAGATGGCGTTGGTTGGGGATTTATGCCTTTCCACGGAGGGCCGAGGATATGTCTAGGCAGTAAGTGATTTAGGTTATGAGTGTAGTTCGTAGAGCACTTGGAACTAACTAAATTGACAGAGGAATTTGCACTGACAGAAGCTTCGCACGCAATTATACGGATCATTCAGTCTTTCCCTGAGCTCAGATTACCACCTGAAACACCTAGTGTCCCACCTGGCGAGGAGAAGCAAGCTTTGACAATCGTGGTTATGAGTGCAGAGGGATGTAAGGTTTTGCTGGACTGAAAGGGTGATATGTAGATTAGACATCAACGAGGTGTAGAAGTTGAGATTCATGTTACAACTATGGCAGCTGGTTATTTTGATAAGAAGTAAGACTAATAGTGAGCATGATCCAGTCTAATGATCACCCGTTAGTCTCTTCACGGCCTTCCCGGATTGAACTGCGACAAATCTTCCTCCAAAAGCCCCATCATGTACTGATTCCCCCAGAACCAATTTCCCAATTGCGCAGCCGTCCCCAAATCCTGCCCCGGTGCTTGAGATGAATCGACCGGCGCCGAGAAACCACTCACATGCTGCTGTGACAAATCCGCTGAACTAACATGCATGGCAGGATTATCTGTCGGGGGATAACCTTGAGGGTTTACCACCTTGGAATTATCGTTGTTTAGAGGATTTATATGGGTTGGAGGCGCCAGCCCGAGTGCACTGAGATAAACATCGAATTCCTGACCGACCTCAATCAGATTTTCTTGGGCTGCGGCTGCTTGGGGCCGGGTGTTGGCTTCGAAGTAAAGGCGGGCGACGGTGCCGAGCACAGAGCAAAGGGTGTGCAATCGCTCGATAGATTGAGAGAAGGTAGTTAGCGGTTGGAGGGAGGCGATGAACTCTTCGAGTAGGGCGAGGTCGTCGCCGTTGGAGGTTGTTATTATGTTGCAGAATAGTACGATGAAGGGGACGAAGGGGGATAGGAGGATGCCCCTATAGTTCTTTGGTCAGAATATCTCGGTATGAGGGGGTATGGTCATTTCATCAACGATGGCGGGACCCTTTAGGTATGCTAACCAGTGCATGTAGGATGTTTTCGTGAAATTGTCTGTCTCGTTGAGTGCTACAACGCAGTTGCGGTGGACTTCCAGGGCTTCCCGGGCTGTCTCAATGCATTTGGGTATGAAGGTAGCGCCATGGCCTGAGTCTGCTGATGCTGGAATTGCTCGGTAGATCAAGGTCATGATAGCCAGCCGACTGATCTTGTCAGTTGCAAGGTACATAAGGTCTATGTCGGATACTTTAAGATCCGATGACATGAATTTCTACGTGTTTCACATTAGCAACTCTTTCACTCGATCCTATCCCAAACAACGGTAGGGGCGGTACCTCAAACGGCTCCATAACCTTCGACTGCATCTCGGCGGCTAGTCTGTACGCATGTGTGATTCGTTCACTCTCTGGTTTCTGCAGGGCCTCTGGGCTATACAAATATTGATAAACTTCACTCTGGATAATTGCCGATCTAGTCCACCAATTGCAGACGGGTCCCCATGGGTGGGGGATCTCTTCTGGGTTTTCATCTAGCATCGGTAGGCTGATATCGTAATTCTGGATGGATGAAGCACGTCCTAGACGCAGGGACATCATATTCAAAATTGAGTAGACAGTCCAGAATAGAATCTGCTTTTTGCGTTGAACTGGTACGGGGTCATGCTCCATTGAAGTAAGGCGATGATATCCCAGTGTCTGGCAGAGATTCATGGCCGTTGATGCTAGTGTCCAGGCAACGGATGGTTTGGAAATCTCGAGTGCATGCATAGCCTGTGTTTGTAAGTAAGGAAATAAGGATTCCAGATAGAGTATATCTGAACAAAAGACAAAAAGAAAATGGGGGACTGACTCCTAGAGATAACGCCATGATCGAGTCATGGTTTGCAGGCATCAAGATATTCAAATTGGCAAGTGCTGTCTCCAGGTTGTCGCGACACATCTCAATGTAGTGATGGTGCTCTTCTCGCATAGTTACGTCTTTCTCCATGCCACCATACTCGTAGAAAAGGCCGTACATAGTAAAGGTGGTTATAATAAATGCCGCATCGGAGTAATCCTGTATGCAGAAGTAAACTTCACGGCATTTTTCAGTGAAATATTTCACACTGAGGAAGGGGACATAGCCACCAAAGAAAGCAGGTGGATTTTCTAGGTAAGTAAGCACAAACTGTAAACGTCTGTTTGGAATGAACCGTACCTTGAATATTTCTCAGCATATCCAGAACCACTGGCAGAGGCGGCATCTCCAGATCGCGAATGTCGCGTCTCACGCCCAACCTTGCACTCTTGGTGCGAGGTTGACTCCCCTGCAAATCCGCTTCTCGCCGCTGGTTCTGGATCCCGACAAGCTGCTTTAGCGACGAGAGAGCCGCGGTGATCTTCGGACTTGACACAACCTGCGGCGAGCTTTTGGACACAGCAGATTCAAGGAACGCGCTCGCGTAGGCCCCATGGGCAGTAAGAGATGAGCTGCCCTCGAAGCCAGCGCTAGAATCGTGCTCCTCGATAGTACGATTTGCTAGATACAAAGGGCCCTTGGGCTTTACGGAGTTTGGTGTAGTAGATGACGGCTGCGAAGGAGTTGACTTCTGAGGCGAAGGGGCGAAATGAGACTCGCTCCGGTTTGGTGCTGTGAAGCCTTGTGGTTGAGATGTGTTTTTTGCTAGCTGTTGAAGAGTACCTTCAATGCTTGCCAGGCGTTCCTCGATCAAATCAATCTTTTTCTCACTATGCTCAAGTCAATGGTGTCCTGTGATAGGGGCAAGATGCTCATACTATTGATTTGAGATTAAAACCCGCCGCCGGGGCTCTGATGGCTTCTGGCCTTCGCCAGTAGATCGGCATGCGATGCTGGAGCTTCGGCAGTTTGAACATGGGGTGCGCTTATCGCATCGAATCTGTGACAAGGTGAGAATCCAGTCATGACATCCGTGCTACTCGGAGCTGCATACCTTTCGGAGGCGGCATTGATCACACTGGATGCATCCATAATTAATATTTGATTAGTCCAAGTTGTATCTTCGAAGGATTCTTCCAAGATTGCCTTTTCTAAGCTTGCACTTTTTTTTTTGGTTGTGGAGCGACACTTACTGCACGTCGGACCAGCGCGCTTGGCACCTCGCGTCCCTCATGATCAGATCCCTCGTGCTCCATGGATTTCAAGATACCGCGTACCTAGTGTAACATAGGAATTGCTAAAATTAGGTACGAATGAAGCTTCGAATTGTGAGCTCAGGTTTGGGTGTTGCCTTGGCTCGTGCCGTCACCGATCACGTGGTATGCATTTTCTGTAAAAATACGACAGCAGAGACAGATATATACATTGGTGGTGATATATTGAATCTACATGGCTAATATAGATCAGGACCAGACATGGGCAATCATAATATATGATATCTTCATTTAACGTGACCAGTCATGAACGAGAGTGATCCAGCAAACGCAGTGCCTGTTCTATTACTCCAATGGGCACAGCGCGTCCAGCACACTTGAACCAAAAGTGTATAATCAATCTAACTTGCAAGGTGCGGTAGAATATAAACATAAAAACAACCTCAGTTTCCAACACAGAAGGAACGTGGATCTATTTCTTGGGAGGTGCAGGGGGCCACCACGCGCCATCGCTCAACCACACTCCTGTCGGGCTATAAATGCCAGCCTCGGAGCCTCTCAAAAATGCGAATCGGAAGAATAGGTCTTCGGGTTTGTCTTCAGGATCACTATCAGCCAAAAGAACCGAGTTGGAGTCGATTTTGGTGTCCAAGTCACGATTGACCAGACGAGGATTTGTCTGCAGCTCCAGGCCATCATGACCATGGCGGTGCCAGGTAAATTCTCCGCGCTTGTCTTCATCAAGATAACCACGCCAGCGCTCTACATCGTTGAGAAGAACCGAGACGCCGTCCACCGCTAGATCTGCCATGCGCTCATGTTCCCACAGAGCGAATGTGATGTTGCCATTACCGCGCCAAGTGATGTTCGATCCCACCTCTGGCAGGGAGATATTGACGGATGCTGCCGTTATATTGGGATAAGTAGCCCCCCACCAGCCATGGATTCCATCTCCAAGCGGCGCTTGCTCTCCTAAAGCTGCCGGAGTCTCAATGATCGAGGCGAAGCCCCACCGCGCAACTCCGTTGATGAAAAGACCCAGCAGCAGACCCTGGTAGATGAGCGAGGGCCGAGTGGGAAAGGCTGTTCCCGGCATGAGGAGAATGGCGAGGATGTAATGATGAATTCGAAGGCGAAGACCAGGGAGAGGAAGCAAAATCAAGATGATGAGGCCCATGGTACAGTATATCTTCAAATACCGTGGGAGCAGACCTCCCTGACGAATTTGCCACGCCTGACTCAGGACAATCGAGATCACAATTGGGATAACAAGAGCCAATGCCAACTTTGCCCCGGGTTGTTTCTGGATATCCATCGGGGTGAGACGCTGCAGTGGAATCAACCGTGCAAAGGTGTAGTTGTTCAGAGCTCCAATGAAAAGTGGGGGTAGGAAAAGGAACAACTTAGAAAGCTGGTAGATAGGCGAGGAGATTGGCTGCAAAAGCGGCGCTGCACAGAACTTGTAAAGGACGTAGACGACAAACGACGCTGGTAGCAGCCGTGATAGAAGACTAGAGACAAGGTCGGCCAAGAAAGGATACGAGGGTGGGTCTCCAACAAGTCCAGTATGGCAGAATACCATGAAGAATGTACTGAAAAATAGCACGGGCGGCGATGTACAGAAGAGCCACAAAACGCCAACGGCAGCAGCGGTGATTCCGAGAAGTGTCCAGCGTGGATCTGCCGGGCAGCTAGCTTGCGGCGAGGATAGCTGTAGAAAGCTGAAAGCCTTCGGGAAGGTCGACGGGAACCCGGCGGAGAGAATGCCGTGCTGCTTGACTGATGGGAAAGAGTGCGCCGCACCTTCCAGCTTGACAACACCGCAGCCGCCATCGTTCGAAATTGCACCGACATGGATTGCTGCCTGGCAAATAAAGCTATCCGCACGGTAAAGTGCCGCATCTGAGGAATCCGGCTTAGACCCTCCAATCACTAAGCCTTGGTAGTTGTATGTATGATTTCCCACAATGTAAGGCTCCAGCAATTTGGTATCACGGCAATTCGCAGGACACCGGAAGGGAATAGTCGAAGAAGAAAATGGACGGCAGTCGTTTCCGTTAACACCACACCCATTTCCGAACTCCCTAAATCAATTGCATGTTAGTTTTATATCTATGTGGGGTTGTATTTCAGCACGTACCAGAAGTTCGTCGAGCATGACAACGTCTGAGGCTGACCGTACCCTTCGATATAACCGGAAGAACGCGAGTGTAATAAAATCAAAAACCAAGGCAAGAACCAAGATATATAGAGCAGTAATAAGAGTGCAGTCTTAAATTTGCGCTTGGGAAAAAGACGGTCGAAGTATTGAACTGGAAGCTCTTGGACTCGCGGAAACAGTGGTTTCAATAGAAGCATATGCGGTGGATCAGGACCCTTAACCCAATTGGCGGTGGCGCGACCGACCTTTCGGAGCGGTAGCGGCACCCATCCCCAGCGAAATGACTTGGATGACTCCCGCAGCCAGACGGGAAGAGTGCTGCCAGCCTCGACATCCGGCGGCGGGAGGTCTTCGGAAGCCTCGGGATCGTTGAGACGATCATCATCTTCAAGGAGTGGTGGAACATACAGCCTGTCGGCCTCCTCTCGGCCCTCTCCAAACATGGCGAAGTGTTGGCTTGGAGGGAAAGGGTGGTGTAGTTGGAGGAACTAAAGTGAACGTAGCGAACGATGGGGTATAAGGTATGACGGCGGTCGGTGGCTGATGGGCGCTAGCGTTGTGATGGGCCGTGGGGATCTCCGTTGATTGGTATGCAAGACGGAAGATCACCAGGAACGCGACCCTGAAACGAATACAGAGAGATTTAACCGTACTAGGCTTAAATCATGAAGAGATAGAGATATAAATACAAAAAGGCAAAAGTATGGGAAGAAAAGAGAGACGAGGTACGAGATGAGATCTGGGGAAGAGACAGCGAAAGCGGATCCGTCAGGCAGCCAAGGCAGCCAGGCACCCAATCAGAACAACGCGTGACGGGTCCACGGGGTGGCAACACGATCTCTCCGCCCTCCGCCAACAATCTATCTTGAATGATCTTCAATTCGGGAAATTCTACAAGGATTGCACTAATGCAGGGAAAATCTTCGGATGTGATCTGAGCTTTTCAAACTATATCGTCGTTCCATCCGCGGTGTTCGTCCTACGCTGTGTGACAATAAGGCCAGGGATTACAGTCCTGGCACTGAATGACGACGGAAAAGACATGATTGGTGGCGTTCCTAGGGGCTTTCTGAAATTGAAGACCCCATTTCCATCCCTACACTTGCAAATTACTATACTAACAGCCGTTCCCTAGACTCTTATGCCTTGGTCGTAGTATCGACCTCGTTGTCGTCATTCTAATGTTGCTGTTGCCAAAATGACGAGGAGCCCTTGTCCGATCTACGTACGGGTGAAGAGCACCACCATATCAGCGTCCATGGGAACACAAGCTACCCGAATCTACCTATAAATTTTCCACCTAGGTATACTCCCAATAGAGGCAGGCCATGCTTCTTGGTTAAATTAATTCCAAATGGCCTGGGGCAGTCAACCATTTTGGCCATCCCGGCTAGAGATTAAGGCAACGCAGACATGAAAAAGGATATTGAAAAGAGATCCAAAAAGAGACTTTCCGATTATACTTGAAAAAAAATGATACTAAGGATGATATCTGAAATGGCTCACTTGGGTGTAAATAACTTCTTGTTTAGTATAAATAGGTGTCTGTTAAGCTCATCCATATAGTACGACCCTAACAGACCCTTTGCAAGCAAATAGACGCGTTGGAGCTCATAGCATATACAGGTATACATTGAGGGCAAGCAAGCAAAACCCAACAGGCCCAGTCTCCTCGCTTCGAAGATAATAACCCACCCCACTTCTCCGGATGTTGACTTTGCAAAACTGTTGACCAATTCTTCTGTGTAGCGCAGTTGTGAAATCCTTGGCTGATCCTATCTCATGTAGGGATTGATTCCCTATCCTAATATATACCCCTGCCAAATAATAAGCAAGGCCACATTGAGTGCTCATCTCCAACAATTCTCGATATCATCAGGTACGAACATGTACATCAGTTACATTATACTTACCACATCAAAATGTCGGAGCATGACGTCCGGCATACCGGGGGATTTATTTATTAATCCTACACATTTTTGTAATTAATGTTATGTAATCATGGCTCCATATAAATTGTACCAAGAGCCGATACAGAAATACAGAGAGTTGAATACCACTGATTGGACCCCTACATTTACAATACAGACCAATCCGACACAAAATCGGTGCCTTGGTGCCTGGATGCCTGAATAAACTGTGGGGTCAACCCTTGCTCACAAATAATTAAACCCTCACCCCGCACGAGCATTGAGGTCTCCAACCGGCACAATGCCTCTAATCCCCGAGAACCAAGACCTTGCCGAAGAAATCGAAGCCGTAAATGCTATCTACGAGCCAGACACAATAACCGTAACCCGCACAACCCCAGCAAACGCGACAACCAAAAACACAATCGACCTAGGAAGTCCCGCGCACTCCAACAGCAACACTCATACCACAGTGGTCACCCTCCAAATCCCAGAACAACAACATCTATCCTTCATTATCGGCTTCGAAGCCTCATACCCAGACTCCCGACCCACCGTACTGGGAACAGCATCAACCGCCGCACGCGGGGAAGGCAAGATCGCCATCGATGTGTTGGAGGATATCGTACAACGGACCTGGCAGGCCGGCGCCGTGTGTCTATTCGATATAATCAGCGAAGCGGTCGTCGTATTTCCAGAATTGAGTATCGGGCAAGACGATGCCGGGGACTCGTCTACTCAGACACCGACTGTCGATGCGTCGACTGCCACAGACGCCTTTGAAGCTCTGTCCCTGCGCGACGCGTTCGGCCTCGACGCCCCGCCCGAATGGATCCTCTCAGACGTGGTCTCCGAGAAAAAATCGGTTTTCGTGGGCCGTGTTGCCCGTGTTACTTGTCTTGCGCAGGCGCAGGCTTTTATTGATCATCTTACGGCTACGGATCGGAAGGTTGCGGCCGCGACGCATAATA